CTAATTTTAAAATAAAGCATATTTTACGAAACACACACAAGTCGTTTACAAAAACCAATTTAAGCACGATGGCTGCATGGCTTACGGCTGACCATTCCAAATGGTTCCTGAAAGTTAAGTTTTATAACATTTAGAAAAATGGTTTACTGATAATGCATCAGAGAAAATTAACTGGTTTCAACGAAATCATTAAATATTAGGGCTAAGGTACATACCTGTATGTTAAAAAATTAAATATACCATATTCCATCTCCTATGAAAAAGCAAACAAAGCATAAAGGATGTAATATTTCTAAATCAGAGATTTGAAAAATTCACTTCCACGGTTTATAGCAAGAAGCCACATCTAAAATAAATATCATCTTCAACAAAACAGTAACTCACACTTTTTTCTACAAGTGCTATCATCTTCATAAACTCATACTTGAAACCGGACAGCTACAGCTTATGAAACAAACCGTTAAGTCCTTCAGTTCTTGGAGACCTATCACCCTGAACATCATTATTTCATTCAAATGACTTAAAGAAAATCTTACAGAAGTTTGTTTGCCTTAATTCCATACTCAAGCAGTCATAATGAACACAACAAATTTCTCAAACACATTTCCCCAGTAGTAGGAATGAGAAAACGTCACCATATCCACACAGGCTTTCTCCTTCAGTATTTTCCCACATTTTGCCTACCAGTTTTAACATTTCCTTCTCATTTCTATTGTTCTATTTTCCAGTCTTACTGTTGTTCTATCATCTTTAAGATATGCCAGTCTTCACTCTAGAGAGAATTCTCTTTTGTCTCAGCATCTTTTATCCACCTTCCAATTAAAAGAATGAACTCTAAATCCTTTCATCCCTGAAATTCTTACATACCAGCTGATTCCTCAATACATATTAGTTCACTAATGAAGTAAATTGTATGTTACTTTTATTCTTCCCATGAAAAAGGAAACATCCAACCTACATGAAGTTAATCCGTGACATACCTGGATCAAAATGGCCCTTTGTACTGTTGTCCCAAAAGTTCATGTTTTATTTCTCCTTTTCTCTTTCCATCAGCCTTCTTGTCTATGTCATAAGGATGTGCTGTTGCCTTTGGTTTCAGATCTCTCAATATTTTAGCCAAGTTTTTTTTTTTTTTTAAGTCTTTTTACGTTATAGAAACTATGATGGCCTTTCACTGACAGTCTAAAAGGTTAAGATTCACAATTCTTAATCTCTTCAGTTTCTGACTTCTAATTTTTCCAATTTCTTTGTATCTCTTCTCTCTAAGCACTCCAACAGTGGAAAGATATTTTTCTCAATCTTTCTGTGGATAAGCTTATTTTAGTGCTTTTTGCCCATTTTTTGAGATTTCCCCCTTTTTTATTTCTCCAACATATTTTTTAGATTGTGCTTTTTGTGATGGAAAATATCCAACACATAGAAAAAAGAGAGAGTCTACAATAACAAATCCCATATACCCATCACACTGGTTTACCAATTACCAACTTATGGCCAATCTTGTTCCATCCATTCACCCATTTTACTTTTAAAATAGAAACTTCTCATGTTCTTTGATGCCTTTTTGGGTCCATCGGTGTGAATCTTTTTAACCAATTATTCTAAAGTGTTACAAACTTCCCCATGTCAAATACTATAGCCCTCTGATTACACTTCATAGGTTGTTTCCATTTAACATTCAATAGATATCTTAATTTGCTGCCAAAGGCAAGTATGAGGATACATTCCCAATTCTTAGATATACACTAACAGTAATTTTGTTTTTGAATACTGTTAGAAAGTGACCCCTCATCCTTTCTTTAAATATAGTATTCCTTAAGTATTTTCAGATAGCTGTGGCTGAATGTACATACCATTCAACTAAAGCTGACAACACAATTATTTCACACTGGCAGAAACTCCAGATGCAGGCATTACACTGTCAAATTATTTCCTCATTTCCCTGACTTTAATTGGCTACTTTTCAGGGGAAAAAGTAACTTAAAATTCTGTTAAGATTCTTGGTCTTAATGGGATCCAGTCCATGGCCCAAAACAAATACTATCGAAAATACATGGTATGCAGAAGAGGTCAATATCAACCCTCAAATTCCCTTTTAGGAATAAAAGACTTTTTTTTTTTTTTTTTTTTAAATCCATCAAAGACATCTGAAAGCAGCTCCTTTCACAAAAAATTATATCACCTAAATTTCTGGTTTTTCAATTCTACCAGACAAGAAACAATTTTCAGGGCCCACTAAGCCAGAAAAATTTAACTGAAGAATTAGTTACCAACATTAATATAAAAATGACCTAATCCCTAGCATCTTCCCTGTACATCTCTACTCTTCACTGCCATCTTGTTCATTAAAATACTCCTATTTATCTACTAGAATAGTCTTGAACTTTGTATCCCACAATGAAAATGTTCTTTTAGTCTCAGGACCCCTTTATACTCGTAAAATTTACTGAAGAATACAAACAGCTTTTAAATGAGTTGTATTTAACATATCAGAAATTAAAGCCAAGAACTGTTTTAAAAAGAACAAGTATACATGATCACATATTCTATTATCCTTTAAAGCAATGTATGCTAGTGAGAATAAGTCAAAAGACAACATTTTAGTAGTGTTATGGATATATAGTTTGGACTTTGTTAGAAACCCTAAGAGGCCTCCAGAGATCTCTAAACATTTTGTGAACCACTGCCATGTATTCTTGGTATGATGCTTTGTACATCTGTGGTTATCAATAAATAAGGAATTGGAAAAAAAAAAAAAAAAGAATTCACTTCCAAAAAAGAAAATGCTGTAACATATGATAGACGGACAGACACACACACACACACACACACACACACAAAAGAATGAGACATGCAATAGATTACACAGTACTGACACTTCCAGGATTAAGTTTGAAGTCATCTATTACTCATCTTTCCTTGTTGACATTTGAAGCAATATTATTAATTCATGAAATATAAAATATCAATCTACCTAAACTCAATATATAAATCTAAACATGACAGTCTAAGCTTAATATTTCATTTTTTCAAAAAAGCTTCTTCTGAAATACACCTCTACAATGTCAATATACAATTCAATGATCTAATGAAAACTTCACCAATATACTCAAAGGTGATAGAAAATTTGTTCAAATAAACTTCATTCAAGACATAATGGTTTTTGAAATACATTTCTTATTGAAATCTGGATGTTATAATGGAGTAACTTGGTGGCACATTATTTAAAACATGAAGACTTATCATGGAAAAATGATCACTGAGAATTAAAAGAGAACGGAAATTAATTTAAAATGGAAATTGAAAAAAAAAAGTCTAGTCTTTTTTTAGTGTGACAGATCTGAGAGACTTTTTAAATGCCAGGGAATGCCATCTTTTAACAAACAACATTACACTTTGGTAAAAATAAGACTGCTAATTTTCTAGTGAGAAAATGGGCTCAAAGGAGATGCAACTACCTCCTTCTAGTACGGAGGTAACGGGAAACAAAAAGTGGAATGTAAGCTGTTGAGATCTTCACTGCTGTTACTACTATCCAAATGATATACGTCTCCCCACTTTTCTATTTATCACCAATCTGGGCCACTGTGCTATGGCAGGTGATAACGTTATTCTGCCAAATCACCTTTCTTCATTTTAGGTAGCCCAGGGTATGGCCTAAGAGTACTTTAAGAGATGAGGGCAGTCTGTCTTTAATGCCACTAGCAAGTAGTTCTCTTCCACTATATCCTCCCCCAGGCTGATACAAAAGCTTACTTAAGCCATCTTTACATAGTTCTAAAATCACTGGAATTAGTCTTGAGTTTTTACTGGACTTTTAAAGTCTCTAACGACAGATTCTACAATTAATTTCTCAGTACACTCTTCTCTGAAAAATTATTATCAGTCAGGAAAAAAAAATTTCGGTTTAACCTAAATATCTTCTACATTAAAAACAACCTACATTGGGGCGCCTGGGTGGCTCAGTCGGTTGAGCGGCTGACTTCGGCTCAGGTCATGATCTCACGGTCTGTGAGTTCGACCCCCTACAATGGGCTCTGTGCTGACAGCTCAGAGCCTGGAGCCTGTTTCAGATTCTGTGTCTCCCTCTCTCTGACCCTCCCCCATTCATGCTCTGTCTCTCTCGGTCTCAAAAATAAATAAAAAAAATAAAACGTTAAAAAAAGTAAAAATAAAAATAAAATAAATAAAACCTACAAAATATTTCATGATGCACTATTTACACCATAATAAATTCTGAAAAATAATTCTGTATATTTATATTAATGTTAACTCCTAGTTGTAAATCAACAAATTTACAATCTCCCCTTCATAAAAATTACATAAAACATGTTATATACATTGGCTCCAGCAAATTATTTCTAGTTGTAGAAATACTTTTAATTTTAGTAATGTACATCTTTAGCTATGGCAGCAGGTATGCTGGAAAAAAATATTGACACATGTTCATGATGAGACATAAAAATGCCTGTTCTACTTCTAGGATTGTTATAAGGATAAAATAATGTCAAAGAGCTTCATAAACTGCCACACAAAGGTGTAACAGGAATCCTTTTCATATAAAGTGATCTTCATCAGGTGGGTCACCCAGATATTTTGAGTTGACTCAGCAATTTTATAGATTTCTCATGTTAGTTCTGACACATTACTAACCCTTCCACCACTGAAATGGATGAACACACAGCCATGTATATGATACAGGTTCAAAGTCCAGTGGGATGAAGTGATATTACTTATTTATCTTAAGGTCACACAGACATCCTTAATCTTGCCCAGAAGAATTAAAAAACCTAATTTATTTTTTTATTTTTTATATTTAGTATGTATGTATGTATGTATGTATTTATGAGAGAGACAGTGTGTGAGTGCGGTAGGGTCAGAGTGAGAGGGAGACACAGAATCTGAAGCAGGCTCCAGACTCTGAGTTGTAAGCACAGAGCCTGATGTGGGGCTTGAACTCACGAACTGTGAGATCATGACCTGAGCTGAAGTCAGATGCTTAC